TGTCTTGAAATTATTCTGTGCTAGCCAGTTATTTTTGGAACAATGACTTTGTATACTCCTTCCATCTTCTTTTAATGCTTCCTGGATAATTCAATATTCTTCCCTTAGCATTGTTAAGTATTACAATTCTTGGCTTGAATGTGTTCTTTAGTTCCTTCAGCTTAAGAAAAGCCAAGCAAGTCCTGCCTTTTTTTAATTTTTGGACTACAGCTCCTTGCAGATTCCATTATAATACTTTGTTCTGTCTTTCCAAGCTGGTCTTTGAAATCTTCTATTCAGCTCCTTAACTTCTTAATTACTTCCCTTTCTATCATCTTCTTTCTGTTCTAGTACAATATTCAGAGTCTCTTGTCATATCCATTTTGGTCTTTTCTTTTTTCTTCATCTTTGTAATAATGACCTTTAGCATTCTTCATAGATGATGTTCTTGATATATTCCCACAGCTCATCTGATCTTAATTTTGTCTTCTCAGAAGAGTCCTGATGGTTTAGTGACATCCATTTTTGTTTTTCCTTCTCTGTCTTGATAGTGAACTTCTGCTCACTTCATGGGTAATATCTTTGATGTCATCTCACAACCCTTCTAGTCTTCATTGGCATTCAATGCTTTAAACTTACTTTTTTAAAAAACCTATTCTTAAAATTATTTTTTAAATTCAGATGGGGTTTCCTCAAAGTAATAATTTAGTTCTTGTGGACTCATCTTAATTTTCCTCAGCCTCAATTGTAACTTGAACAGGAATAATTTATTATCTGTTCCATGGTCAGCATCTGGCCTCATTTTGACTGCTGATATTGAGCTTTTCCAGTAATGTCTTCCACAGATGTAGTCAGTCTGATTCATTTGCATTTCATCTGGGGAGGTCCATGTGTGAAGTTACCATTTGTGCTTTTTAAAGCAGATATTTGTGGTGAATAAATCACTGAGTGCACAAAATTCAGTAATTCTATATCTGACTCCATTTCTGTCACCTTTCTTTCTTTATTGTTTCCAAATTTTGCATTCCAGTCACCAATGTTCATTAAGGCATTTTAATTGCATATTTGGTCAATTTGAGACTGCAAAACTTCATAAAAATCTTCAATTTCCTTTTATGTTGCTTTAGCTGTTAATGCATACATTGGAATAATAGTCGTATTAACAGGTCCTCCTTGTATGCATATGGATAATATCCTCTCAGGGAGTTCTGGTGGCCTAGTGATAGTAAGCTGCACTGCAATCCCAGAGGCACATGATTCGAATTTACCAGCTGGTCCATGGGAGATGGGCAATCGCCTCCAGTGTGATTAACTGTCTCTAAAAACCTGAAAAGGATCAGCTATGGGTCACTTCTTACTTGACAGTACACAACAACAATATCCTATTACTCACAACATTGTACTTGAGGGTAGAAATTGAAATTGTCTTATTTTTAATATTTTTTATTATTATTAATGAAACTTTACAAAGATTTTGTATTTCCATTCATTCACTGTTGCACTTTTCTCCCTGACCACCCCTTCCCACCCCCCGTACACTCCTCTCTTTGAATAGTAAAAGAAAAATTCTTTCATTGTTTTACAGTCCCTCTCCCCAGGTCCACTCCAATACGCAGCCTTCATTCTGTACTCATGTCATGACAATAATACCTAATGACATATCCCTTTTAAACAGTTTTCTCCCTCATCTGTTTCAATACAGTATACATTATTTATCCCATCTTTCTCAGTCTCCCCCAACCCCAATGTCAATGCTGTTTTACAACAGTGGCACTATGCAGTATTTGTCCTTTTGTGACTGATATTTCATTCAGCATTATGTCTTCTAAGGTCAGCCACTTTTGAATATTTCATGAGTTTCTTGTTTTTCAATGCAGCATAGTATTCCATTGTTTGAATATACCACAGCTTCTCTATCCATTTGTTTCTTGATGGGCACTTATGTTGTTTCCAACTCCTTGCTATTGTCAACAAAACTGCAATAAATATGGATGTGCATATATCTGCTTGGGTGGCAGTTATGATCTCTTTGGGGTATATTCCCAGTAGTGGAATTGCTGGGTCAAATAGTATCTCTATTCTCAACTTTTTGAGAAAGCACCAGACCACCTTCCATAGTGGTTGCACCATTTTACACTTCCACCAACAGTGAATAAGGGTTCCAGTTTCTGCCCAACCTCGCCAGTATGTGTTGCTTGCTGTTCTCTTAAATTTTGTTATTCTTACTGAAAACACAATTTTTACTTGTATTTTCACTCCAAGTATAATATGCCACATGATTGTCTCACTCAAAGTGGTCAATGCTAATCTATTTCATCGAAATTATGTCTAGAATAGCAATATCCATGTGTTCCATTTCATTTTCATAACTTCTAGAAGAAAACTCTCAATCATGTTGACATACTGACTGAAACAAAGAACTTAAGTTTATCAGAGATTGTAAATATGGCACAGGGTAGGACACGGTTTAGATATGTTGTTCACAGGATTAATGTGAGTGGGACTCGACATGATGGCACCTGACAACATCAACAGCAACATGCCCAAAGTATGAGAGACTAAGCTTTATCATCTTTGCTTCTAAGGAGCAGTCTGGGTGCACCTTCTCCAAGACCTGTTTGTTCTTTTGGCAGTCAATGGAATATTCAGCAGTCATCTCCAACACAACAGTTTAAAGGCATCAATTCTTCTTTTGTTATCTTTATTCATTGTCCAGCTCTCAGATGAGTAACAAGTTATTAAAAATACCGTGACCCAAAATGGGTGCATCAGAGTCCTCAAACTGACGTCATTCTCCTCAATAATTTGGAGAGTTTCTAACTACAGACTTTCTAAGCACAACACATCTTCTAGTTTCCTGATTTCTGATACCAAATGTATTGATTATAGATCCATGCAAGAATTCTAGGCTACCAGAGTTTTTTTGTTTTAATCATGGGAATTTATAAGCCAGTAGAATATAATGTTTAGATATAAATTTCAAGAAATGCCTCTGTCGGCAGTGTAAAAAGCAGCTTAAAGAAGCAACTTAAAGATTGGTACAGTGAGAGAGACATATGTTAGGAATAATATTTTTTAGGTGTTTTGCAGTTGTAACGTTGTAAAGTACAAAAAAAGAGATGGAGAAAAGAGTATTCCTTTTACATGCTGGAGATCTATGTGTATGCATTTTGGAAGAACAATGCACTTAGAAAAGTGCAATAAAAATAACCAACAGTCTAACTAATTCCATTTCATGTCTCATTTGAAAGACATTAGAGTAGCTATAATATTTAAACCCAGTAACATTTCTTATATGTTTTTACACTCTTCTCTCACATTTTTGCATCAGGCATTCTTTAAAGCCCATCTTTTCTCAAAACTCCTTAAACCACAAACTATGACTTTCTTTCTCACTTCCATTCTCTTTTCCAATTCAACTGTTTATTAGATACTCAGCCTCTTATTCTTATTTCCTCTTGCTTTTAATTTTTGTCTGATTTTTAACTTTAAGATTCAAGAGTTACTGTGGGAAAGATACTATAACTACTAACATCAAGTCCATGTTTTTGTTGTTGTGTATCATTGAGTCGGAACTGATCCATAGCTGACCCTATGTCGGGAGTTTCAGGGGCAGTAAAAGTTTGGGAGAAAATTGTCCATTTCCCCCCCATAATCCAGTTTGTGGATCCAAGCCACTTGCCTTTGGGATTGAAGCACAGCTTTTTGCCATTAGGCCACCAGAGCTTCCATGGCCTTATGTTGTTGTTATTTTAAATCATTAAATCTTAAACTCATAAATATCCTATGTATAGCAAGCAACAATCCTGTACCATCTGCACAATTTCTACTGTACTTAGTCTTATTGTTAATAACCCTGTACCAAAACCCAAACCCACTGTCATGGAGTAGATTATAAATCAAAACAACACTTCATCCATTTTTTAATTCATCTTTACTGGATGAAGCAGTTCATCTTTCTCCCACAGAGCATCTGGTCGATTTGAATTGGTGGCTCTTTGGTTAGCAATGCAACACTTTATACAGTTTGCTACCAGAACTCCTTTGTAGGACAAGGCAAACCTTCTCCATAATGTTTTTATGATTTTATAAAAATCTTTATAGGATCCCTGCCTTTCTCCTTTGGAATGTCCGGTTTGTTTTAAACACCTAGTTTTTGGTTAGCAGCTGAATACATAAGCCAGTATAAAACCAGAAACTGAGAAAAGTACACTGACAACTCTAGAACTTAGATTAGCTGGCAAGGAAAAAACAAAACTCGGCCAACAATGGCACAGAAGTAAGCTTTCTTTTATGCTTTCAGAAGCAAGAGTCCTGGAGAAAACCATTTTTTATGAAGATGGCGAAAGAAGAATGTACTATCAAAGAAATATTTCACCTCAAAAAGGCAGAAGAAAAAAAGATTATCCAACAGCATGAAAGTCAAGGGAGGAAAGAATTTGAAAGGGGAAGAGTTAAGCTCAATGTAACTGTGTGTTTGTGCATAGAAACAATCATAATGCAACATAATGGTAGTATTTTATTCATTCAACAGGTATTTGTTGTGACCTAATGTGTACAATGCATTTGATCACACTGAGAAAATAAGAGGTAAAATTTTTTATCACTAAAAACTGATTAATTAAGGAATTGTCAGGTTGATTATGGATCAACACACAAATACTCAATTTAGAAGACATATTCTTGAGACACCATAGGGAGAACAAGTCTTATGAAGATTATACTTCTATTACCAAGCCTTACAAAAATATTTCACTTACATTAAAATTAAATATTTAACCATATTATTTTAACAAAATGCCCTTATCATAAAGCAGGATGGTATGATATAATAATACAATCAGGTCTAAAAATATGTCAAAGCAGTTAAGTATTGAAAGGCTACTGAATTAAGCAATCAGCAGATTTTGTTTATTGATGACCATTGGGTGAATAGTTTCAATTAAAGGTTGATAAGACAAAACAGAATTCTTGAAGATGAAGAGGAGCTAGAAACTAGATAAGCTCTCCATCATTTGTTCTTATTTGAGAATTCTGGTCGAATGAACAAAGTTTTTAGCTTGGCCCATGTGCTTCTTTATTGCTTCTTTTATCTCTTTATTCCTCAGGCTGTAGATAATAGGGTTAAAGAAGGGGGACAAAACTGCGAAGCCTAAAGCAATGGCTGTATCCCAGAACAACGAGTAGGTGGCAGAGAAGCGGAGGTACATGAGAGCCACGTTGCCAAAGAACAGGAAAAAGACGGTGAGGTGGGAAACACATGTGGAAAATGCCTTGCGACGACCTTCGGCCGAGCGAATACGTAAAATCACAGCCACGATACCAACATAGGACATGAAAATGAGCATCACAGCTGTAATAATCTCTACGGCGTGGACAATATCTACTATCTGAATCATGATGATGGCACGTGTGTCTGTGCAGGCAAGGCGTAGCACGGGGAGGAAGTCACAAAAGATATGCTCAAGGTGATTAGAGCCACAGAATGGCAAAGAGGATATCCAGGCAATCTCTGGAAGGGGTGTAATAAAGCCACAAACACAGCAACTTAATGTCAGTTGGGCACACAACTTGGGGGTCATGATGGTGGGGTAATGAAGAGGGCTACAGATAGCCAGATATCGGTCAAAGGCCATAGCCGTCAAGAGACAAACTTCACTGATGCCTGTGGAATGGAAGAAATACATCTGCAGCATACAACCATTTAAGGAAATGCTTCTCTTCTCACTAAGAAGAGTTGAGAGCATCTTTGGAATGGTGGCGGTGGTATACCAAATCTCCATGAATGAAAGGGTACTAATAAATAGATACATTGGAGTGTGCAAATGACTATTCAACTGGACTACTATGATGATGACCAGGTTCCCAACAACAATGAAAGCGTAGATGAAGAGCAGCGGTACAAAGCAGAGGACAGAATCCCCCCAGGAATAAGGGAAAGCGGAGAAGATAAACTCCTGAGCAGTGGTCTGATTTGGGCTTTCCATCTCCTGGTTAGAAAGAATAATTTTGACTCTCAATAGACTCATTTCTTCTAGTATATGTCTACCATTATTCAAAGTTTATTAACACTTACCAAATCCCACTGTGTGGCCAGATCTCTATATTGAAGATGAGGAGGAAAACAAAGGGGGAAGGAAATAGACCTTATTCCATAGAAGCTTAGATCTAAGATTATAATATGTAAAATGTCCAATGAAAAATAAAATTTAATGTTTTAAACCAGTGGTTCTTATTTTTTAGCATACATTAGAATTACTTGGCAGACTTCCTAGACACACCAATTTTTAAGCTCCATCTTGAGGGTCTCCAATTCAGTTGCTGTTGTTATGTGCCATCGAGTTGACTATGATTTATAGCAACCCTATGCACAACAGTTCTGAACCCTGCTCTGTCCCAAGCCAATCTCACTGTCTCTGACACACCTACCCTTATTATCCCACTTATTGTGTCAATTCATCTCATCCATGGTCTTCCTCTCTTAAGTTATCCTTTAACCCTTCCAAGCATGTTGTTCTTTTCCAAACACTGATCCCTCCTGCCTACATGCCAAAGTGTATGGGACAGAGTCTCAGAAATCCTTGCCTCCAAGGAGCAGCTCGGTTTCACCCTCTCCAGGACAAACCTGTTAGTTTTCTTGACAGTCTATGGTATGTTCTCTAGCACCCCAACTCAAAGGCAGCAATTCTTCTTCTGTTATTCTTGGTCATTTTCCAGCTCTCTGATGTATAGCATGTGAAGACCATGGCCTGGATCAGGTTCACCTTGGTCTCTAGATTGACATCCTTGCTCTTCAGCACTCTGGAGAGGTCCCTGACAGCAGATTTCCCTAATGTAATTTGTCTTTTGATTTCTTGACTGCTGATGCCAAGAGTGTTGGTTGTGAAAACTGGACAAGTTGAAATTGTTAACAATCTCAATCTCTTCTTTATAGGTCTAGGGAAATCTAATGCAGAATTGCCAGGTTATAATTGACTTGATAGAAGTAGTTTTGGTTTTAGTTTAGGAAGGGACTCAAGAGTTTTCATTTTTTACAAATTCTCTGATGATACAGGTCCTGCTGTCAGGGCATTATAGTTTAAAACCATACCTTTAAAAAGAAACAGAAGTTGAAAGTATAACAGATGATCAAGGTGGTGTTTTCCCCTCATATTTGAGTTTTCTTTATTCTAACAAACTCATTATGATTTCAAACATCTTTCTTTAAACTTTCTGTTCTCTGTCTGGTCTTTGGTATGATTTTTTTATATTATGTGCCTTTGAGTCAGAACCTATCTTTGGTGGGTTTTCGGAGATTGTAAATTACATGGAAGGAAATTGCCCATCTAATTCCCATTTTGAAGCTGGTAGAGTCAGATTCCATGCCTTTAGTTTGGCAGCACAGCTCCTTATCCACCAGACCACCAAAGGATCAACTTAACAAACTCATTATTATTATAGACACATCTGTTTCATATTTTGGTTTCTGTTTCTGAAAATTTCTGAGGGAAATTTCTCCTCTTTGAAATATCCTTTTCTTGTCTCCCTTCCTTATTTTCTCTCTTTTTTCCTCACCAAGTTTTACATGTGACCTCTCTAGTTTTTTGGGGGAGAGAAACTAAAACAAACAAACATCACCTATTTCTATTAACTCTATTTAGTACTTTCTAACATATTCATTCTCTTTTAAGATATTTTAAGTGCTCTTGACTTTTTCACATACCTCATATATACCTCATTTTTTCCCCCTGTAAGATTTAATGCCAGTAGTCAACAACTAAACAGATTAAATCAGCCTGATAGTTCAAGAGGTTATCTTCCGTCTAAGACTCTGGTTAATTTTTTTAATAGCCTTAAAGGATGTGGTCAAACAAAAACAAACAAATAAAAACACATAGCCGAGCTCAAAAAATGATAGGTAAGATCTGAAACAAGTAACTACATCATCTTCCTAAAACCAGGAAAAACAAAGTCCTTGTTTTGTTCACTAAACATTATCTTCATTCAAAATTGACTAATGATAAATCTAGTGCAAATATTAATGATATGAAATGTCTAACAACTAACTCAAAGTCTCAAGTATGTTATTTGAAACCTTGACTCTGTCAGAAACCAATTTCCAATGTTTCCTTGTGATTTTGAAACAATCACTTCCACTCTAGCTGTTTATAATCCCACCATTTCATGGTAAATTTTATAATTGAAACCTTTACACTTACTTACTTTATGCCATCTTTCATAATCCCTCTTTGCTCAAAACTTTCCCTAACTACTCACAATATCTTTATGCCCACCAGACTGTTTGTTATTGGGTAGATGGGTTGATTTTTTTTCTCTTTCTAGTTATTAATTTCTATCCCCACAGATTAGTCAATTCACTGACCTTGTGGTTTGAGTTTCAAGAGTTGGAATACACAGGATGAAAACTATCTTAATCCTGATGTGGTCAACTCTGTCAAACAACTAAGACAAATTTCCTTTACTTTGCCATTATGCTTCTTCCATAGTCTTTCATCTAAACTATATTTCCTTCATCAGTAGGTGGTATATAAACCTGAGTCTTCCAATATTTTTTTCGTCCATTCTCTTCCCCCTCCCCCTCCCAATTACCACCTATTGTGTGTCTTTTATTTTTTAAGCATAATTAGAATGGGGAGATAGTCACTCCTGAGAATTTTACTCAAGTGACTCAAGTAGGAAAACAACTAATTCTGCAATGGCTACAATTAGGAAAAAATGGCTTAGACTGGTTATTAGAAGAACTCAAATCCCAAGAAACTCTAAGACAAATGAGGTAGTCTGGAAGCTGAAGGCATTGAGACATTTTTTTTTCCTCTTCTTCATCTCCTTTTACATTATTTTCTATAGGGTTTATAAGCGTATTTGATTTTTCATGAAATAATTACTGCCAAGACAGGACTCAAATTTTAGAATTGTTGATTTATTGTTTTTAATTGCTCAAAGAATAGGCTTTCTCATTAATAATAACCTTAGAACAAACTGTTACCAGGCCCTGTACTATTTTCATGATCATAGATAGCCTTAAACTAATTTTTTGTGGTTGTTGTGTAATATCCTTGAGGGTTTCCTTTGACCCTCTATCAGACATGATGTCCTTTACTAAAAATTTCTCTTGTCTCATTATGTGTCCAAATGTGCTGGGCTTTATGAAGAAGAATGTGGCACCAGGATTAGAGAAATATTCATCGACAGTTGTATTATGCAACTCATACAACCTTTATTCCTGAAGGTGAGGAGGATGTAAAATACTATCTGTAGAACAGCAAAGACTACAGCCTCCAATATGGATTATATCTCAACCTCAAGAAAACAAAATCCTCACCACTTGGACAATAGATAACATCATGTTAGAAGAGAAAAGATTAAAATCATCTATGATTTGTTAGCATGCACAGTCAACATACTTGGTATAACAGTGAAGAAATCAAAAGACATGTTACATTAGGAAAATATTTTTTCAATAATTTCTCCAAAATATTAAAGAGCAACAATACCAGTGTAAAGGTGTACCTGATCCAAGCTGTTGTCTTTTGTTGTTGTTGTTGTTCTTGTTTTTCATTAATTTTTACAAAAGTTTACAGAGACTTTGGATTTCCCTTCACTCATTGTTTCACACTTCTCTCCCTGCCCACCCCTCTCCCCAGTTCATCTTTCTCCTTGAATAGTTAAAAAAAAATCTTTCATTGTTATACCAAAATCCTACCCCTAGTATACTCCTCTATACAGCTTTCATTCTGGACTCTTGTCATGACAATGATACCTAATCATATATTTGTCCTAAAAAGTTCTGTTATCTGTTTCAATGCAGTGTACACAATTTATCCCCTCTTCTTTTAGTTTCCTCCCAACCCCAATGTCAGGCCTGCTATACAACAGTGGCATAATGCAGTATTTCTCATTTTGTGACTGGGCTATTTCACTCAATAACATCCTCCAGGGTTACTCATTTTGTATAATAATTCATGAGTTTCTGTTTTTTCCGATGAAGCATAGTAGTCTATTGTGTGAATATACCAGAGTTTCTCTACCCATTTACTTGTTGATAGGCACTTCAGTTGTTTCCAAACCTACTATTGTGAACAAAGCAGCAATAACCATGGGTGTGCCTTATCTGCTTGGGTGGCAGTTATGTCTTCTTTAGGGTATATTCCAAGTAGTGGAATTGCTGGATTAAATGGTATTTCTATTTCCAACTTTCTGAGAAAGTGCCATACTGTCTTCCATAGTTGTTGTACCATTTTACACTCCCATCAACAGAAAATAAGGGTTTCAGTTTCTCTAAAACCTCACAGCATTTGTTGTTTACTGTTGCGTTAAATTTTGCTATTCTTACTGGTGCAAGATGATATCTCATAGTTGTTTTGATCTGCATCTCTGTTAAAGCAAGGGATTTTGAACATTTCTTCATTTACTTGTTTACCCTTTGAATGACTTCTTTGGTGAAATGTCTGTTTTTATCCTTTGCCCATTTTTCAATTGGGTTGTTAACCTTAATCTTGTTATGATGCTTGAGTATTTTATAAATTCTAGATATAAGGCTCAATGTTAAGAAGACAAAGATTCTCACCACTGGACCAATTGGTAGCATCAGGATGGATGGTGAAGAGATTGTTCACAGCTTCAGTTTGCTCAGCTCCATGGTCAACACTCTTGGCACCAGCAGTCAGGAAATCAAAAAGCGTATTGCAATGGGAAAGTCTGCTGTTAGGGACCTCTCTAAAGTACTCAAGAGCAACGGTGTCTCTCTGGAGACTAAGGTGTGCCTGATAAAGGCCATGGTCTTTGCAATCACTTGTTATGCATCAGAGAGTTTTGGACAATGACTAGGGAGGACAGAAGGAGAATTGATGCCTTTGAGCTGTGGTGCTGGAGAAGAGTATTGAATGTACCATGGACTGCCAAGAAAACAAACAGATTCATCCTGGAGAGGGTTAAACCAAGCAACTCCTTGGAGGCAAGGATTCTGGGGCTTCGTCTTACATACTTT